ATAAAAAACCTTTGCGTCTTTCGTACACTTTGCTAGAAAGAAACAATCGATTCTGCCCATGATCACCACGGTTGCCTCAGCTTACCTTCCATGGTGAATTGGCAAGTGTTTGCGATGGATCCCGTGGCTCCCCTCCACAAAAGCGTTGGGTGGTTTGTGGTAGACAGAAGCCAGAGAGCCAATATGGCAGATCAACTCATCTAGCAAAGTCGGTTCAATCAGGTCAGTCTCTTCAGAAATCAGCGGCTTTTCGGAGAGGACCACTTCTTTGGCAGTCACTGGATCCGTGGAAAGAAGGCGCCAGTAGATGTAGCCACGATCCCGCAGGTCTGGGTTGTCAGAATCCTGCGACAAAGCAATATATCAGTCACAAGATTGAAGGGGACTAATACCTATAATCACTTAATTTTTCCAGTGATTCTGCTGGATTAAAAGAACCCAGCCATCCAGTAGCGACAGTCACCAATTTCGGAATGACATTACCAACTGCTTGTTGTGATGAACATCCCAAAATTAAAAATGAGAGCCAAAGTTTTAATGCTTAGCTTCCTGCTTAGCTGGCCAGGGAGCAAAAAACCCAGGAGTCACATCCCACATTTGCCCCAACCCACGGAGCTATCAATTGCTTTCTAAAATCTTCTGCCACTTAACATAAGTATCGGGAGAACTCCAAAGGCATGTAGACAGAAGAAAAGAAGATGAGTCAAAATGATGCAAGATTCCTGGAAATATATGACTTACTCAAGGGCACTGCTGGACAAAAAGACCCCATAGAGCTACAGGATGGATCTTAATAAGCCATATTCTTCATACCAAAAGAAATCTTATTTGCCCTGCCTTTTAGGTATCTAATGAAGTATGGAAAGATGCTACAATACACAGTCGGGATACTTCATCAGTTCTCCAGCTGTCAATAATATCCTTGTTTTACTGCAGATATTTCTGCCTCTGCATGAAGTGCTAATTATCTCCTTTTCAAACAGCTCTGCCCAGAGCAGCGAAGTGAGTGGTGATAGTCTGCAGCTAATGTTCTAGAGGGAGGTGGTGTGGTCTTATGTTGTGGTGCAACGTTTGAACTGTTCATGGAAACAAGAGCTGGGATTTTCAATCCCCATGTCAGCAAAATAACAGAGTAAATGTTTCTGAGGTTTTTTCCCCCGTAAATTTCCAGCAACATATTGTACACCGCATCAGCCTTCCTCCTTGGCATTTATTTTCCTCTTTTGTGATCTCATTCATGCTGCTGCTGACCTGCTACAACCTGCCTCTGCCCTCTGTCTCAAGACATTCCCAGGCACTCAGCAAAACCTCTATTTGTCATGAGACCGAGCACACTAAGCTCATTTTGCTCATAAGGACCTAGATACAATGTCTGGGTCAACTGATAGATTTCTCTGCAGTCCTGTTTTTCAGTTTGATCATAGACTCCTTACACCCTTCGCCCTTAACAATTCCTACGAGAATCTCTGCATCCTGCCTGCAGCAGGTGGTTCAGGATCAGGCAGGGCTTCTGCAAGGGCAGACATGAGAGACCACATGCTCCTATCCACTGGCAGGCATATACAGATTCAAGACTGTTTCCTCTCACAGCCAGATAAACAGACTTGAAACTTCGGTAAATCTACCGGAACAAGAGGCTCAGATCTTACCTTTCCACATTTTTCCCAATTCTTCACTTTCCAGGGTCTGCATGCACACCTACGGTGCATACCAATGAGCCCATACCCACCCATCCCAGACAGACAACAGCAACGGAGGTGTAGCGGCTCTGTGCCACCCATTAGGTTATGGGCTGGCCAAGGACCTTGATCGCCGCTACACATCTGTGTCCCCGCCATCCCCAGCTGCTTCATCGCTATTTTTACCAGTGTTGGCTGGTCAGTGCTGGCTGACTCCTGCTACAACCACACCTGCAGTTTGCTGTGCAGATATATCCTAAGAGACGCTCAAAGTGCAACAATACTGAAGGTGGGCAAAGAAACACACGTGTAATTACTCTCCCACTCAAGTGAAAAACAGTTATCTCTACCTAGAAATCAGACCTTGAAGCGTAAGGCTTTTTCGTGTTTTACAGCCAGTTATCCTACATTGACTTATTATTCACATAAAATACAAGAAGCCAGACTGAATCAACATTTGCGACAAACAGAGAAAAAACAGACGCCTGCTATATTCCTAGGGTGCCATTAAGTGTTTTGTGACTCAGCACAGTGGGTTTTAGCACTTAGTACCTTTCTCCTGTTGGCTAAGACAAATCATAGAATTTATCATACAGCACGCCCTTGGCCCGCTCCTCTCTAAAGAGGGGCTGAGAGCCTGCCTCATAGCAGGTTTTGAAGCCAGAAAAGCAGGCCACTGACTTCTTGCCCCCAACCAATGCAACACCCCCAAGGGATGAACAGGTACCAGTAAGTCCACAGCCATCATTTCTTGCAGCAAAGAGGATCAAAAAATGCCAGCTGATGATTGACTCCAGGTTTTCTGCCCAGACACAATCGCAGTCTATTCAGAACAGCTGGGAGACTATTTTAATCACTTGACACAGCAGGTCTGGAGAGGAGCTGCTCTTTTCGGACTACACCATCACGCAGTTGCTTCAGTTACTACAGACAGGGAGCGCAGGAGGATCGGTTGAGGTCTTACCCACTCCTGCCACCAGGACATCTCCACTTCTGCCCTGCAGAACTACAGCCCTTCTGTCTGCCAGCTCAAGCCCAGCCCTGCCTGCAGTGATCTGAGCCCATAACTCAGCACCCTCATGCATAATGAATCCAGGATCTTAACCCACTGTTACAGCCTCCAGCAAAGCTGCCACGTTGGCTGACAGCATCCAAGTAGAAAGGAAAAACCCAAACCTTAGTTCTTTCTTTTGCATAGCACTGCTTAAGCTTTGCTGTTCACAGAACAAAGTCTTCACCAGGCCCTTTCCCTGCCGTAGCTCCAGATGTTTTAACTGCAAGCCACCTTCGAGGAGAAAGCATTTTGGTTTCTTTGTAGCTCTGTCCTGTCCCTAACATTTCATTTGGTGGGGGCATGGTGAAGAAAACAGGATGAAGCAAGAGCTAAGGAGGAGAGAGCAGATGCCAGACGACATGGTAAGAGGCACAGAGCAGCTCTTAAACAGGCTCAAATCCCTCCCCTTTGGGAGAAAGGGGAACAGGCATGAATCCTGTCTACTGGCACAGCTGATGGGCCTGGCAGATGCGAGGCGCACGGCAGACCAACACAGCGTCTGAAGGACTCTC